TATCCCTTGCATGTCTAATAGTGACTCTAACATGTGTTTCTCCCAGGGAAGTTCGTTGACATTAGTCTGAACATGCACAAGCAAAATCAAACTGGACTCTTCACTCCTGTGCATGCAAATGATGATGATCCGAACTTGAACATATGTCCTGTATGAGCTTTCATTCTTTTGGCTTTTCTCTATGGCCCAAGAATCAACAAGTCCGGTCTGCTCATTCTGCGCAGGGAGCCGTAATGCAGAGCCTGCCCTTGTCAGTTCTCAGGTAATCTGACAGACTTCTTTGAACGGATAAAGAGGGAAACGATCGACCACAGTGTAAAGTGCCCATCGGTTCGATTGGCAATTTTACATTGTGCACCTTCAAAGTGTTCGATCGAGGTTACGTTGCGTCATCTTCCGAAGTGCCCGATCGGACCGAACGAAAATTCAATCTTCATCTAGCCGATCGTTAAGATTGAAAGGTCCCATCGGATACATTGGCCGCTTTTGTTTGGTTCAAAGTGTGACACCCATTGAACAACTCTCAACACCAGTGAACAACCTTCTAAGATGGATTAAAAAAATATTACGGGTCCACCGAGGCCCGCGCTACAACGAGACGAAGAAGGCCGGCTGAAAATGGTTGTCAGTAAAAGATTGGGTAGAGTGGAAACCCTACGGTGTGTCCGATCGTGCGCACGATCCGTTCGAACGGCTGATCACGCGACGCGATCGTGGATATATCCGGACGAGGTCACCACGATCGATATATCCGGCCGTTCACGCCCGCGCATCACGGCACGTGACGTCGCCAGAGGGTAACCGTGGTGGCCACCACGCCGTAGGTACATCTTAACATCTTGTGCTTTGTGGAACTGATCAATATTCATATTTTCGACACATCTTGAGGTCAGGAAAGTGAAACAAGACCCTAGCGTAGGGTTACAAGCGTGGGAATTCCCTAATGGGGACACCCCTATTGACTTACCCAAGATCTACTCTGGCTCTACTTCATCTCATTAGACACCCAGCAGCCTGGCAGAAGTCAAGCAAACTGTACTTAGAATGCTCCTGAGTGATTCTGGTCCTCTAAAAGCCCTCCAGGACCCAGTTGGAGGCGGAAATTTTTCTCAGAACCCTAGAAAAGTGAAACATCGTGGGAAAAAATGACTTTTTGTGACCAATAGCATTCTTTTGACCGGTTTCGTGGCTCAGAAAATCAGAAAAAAATTACAAAAAATTCCTTGGCCATGAACGGCACGTGCAGAGAAGTGATGACGGGCACTGTATACACATCGAGCGACGGCGCCTCCGGGGCAAATTCTGCCGCATACGCAATGGGGATGCACCCAGGTGGGACTGCGGGTGCAGCTCCGCATGCACGTTGTTGCACAGAGTGTTGTGGTGCCGCTGCACGTCGGGACGGCACCACCGCCTCGTTGGGCCATGCAACGGGGCCCGCACGCGCACGCATCGGGCAAGTCCCAGGCATGCACAAACCACACCAGAACACAAAATGCACCTCGCCTCCCACGCCGTCGCGCCGCGTTTCCACCACATGCACAATGTGGGTTGGTGCACGCAGGTAGGCCCACGCGCGCAGCTCTGTGCGCGTACGCATTGATGTGCAGAGTGTTGCGGTGGTGCGCAGGTGGGCCCGCGCGCGCAGCTCTGTGCGCATATCACATTGTTGTGCCGAGTGTTGCGGTGGTGCCGCCCGCAGGTCAGGACGGCGCCGCCGCCTCGTAGGACGTGTGACGAGGCGGTTTCCGCCACACGTGCGATAGGGATGTGCGAGTGCAGGTGTGCCATCGAGCGCAGCTCTGCGCGCATGCACATTGTGGTATAGAGCATCCTGGTGGTGCCGCCGCGCGTCGGGATGGCGCCGCCGCCTCGGCGAGGCGCGCAACGGGCAGATTTCCGCCATATGAGCAATGAGAGAGTGTGCGCGTAGACGCACCCGCGAGCGGACGCCTCCACATACCGGCATTGGTGCGCTGTGTGTGTCGGTGCCTTATGACGACGCCGCCGCCTCATCGGGGCGCACGACGGGCCAAACTCCGCCACATGTGCAATGGGGAATTGAGTGCGCAGGCGCACCCGCATGGGTGCAGGCTGCCGTGCGCGCGCGTTGTTGCGTAGTGCGTCCGGGTGGGTGCCACCGCGCGTCGGGACAGCGCCGCACGTCGGGACGCGTAACAGGGTGAGTTACACCACATGTGCAACGGGGAACGGGGTGTGGAGGCGTACCTGCGAGCACAGGCATGCCGCATGCCGCCGTTGTTGCGCAGCGCGTTGGGTTGGTGCTTCACTGGGGCGCGCGACGGCCTGATTTTCACCACACACGCAACGGGGGAGGGTGCCTGCAGGCGTACCCGTGAGCGCAGGCCTCTGCGACGAGGGAGGAGCCCGAGAGAAACACAGATTCTGTGAAAACAGCAGTCAGGCCAAGAAGTGCTACTGGACCTCAGCACCTGGGCTATCGAGGTCCAGGAGTGTGAAAAAATGTAATGAGAACTCACCTGGACTCGTACAGCGACCACAGCGCCGCGATCCCGCCAGGGGAAGAGTTGAAAGCGAGCAAAGCAAGTCGGTGAGGAATTGATGGCTTGATCATGTGGCTCGGATAAATTTCCCCGAGGCCAGATATAAATATCTAAAAACCAGGCTGTTTATAAACGTGTTTGCAAATGTGTGCCTAAAAGGTGAGATCTTTGATCACAGAGTCAAAGTGCCTATATCAGATGTGTTATTCTGTTATTCACCTTCCTAGACCCCTTTGCATTTGCTCCTATGTGTTCCCATTATCACTGCCGGGGTCCTGGGGATCAGAGTGTTGCTAAGGAAGAATCATGGACTTGAAGATTGGGATTAAATTGACTCTATCCTCATACGTATATATATTGTTGAGCTGTGAGGATTCAATACATAACCCCCAGAGCTGTTGCAGCAGTGGTTGGCATTGGCAGCAAAGGAATTCTACATGTGATTTGATGCTCCCAAAACGTCCCAAAATGGGCGTAATAAGTCACGTGGACGGACCACGTGATTCATTTATCTGGTTTGCAAACCGGCAAGGGGGTACGGTTTGGTCACGATATGACCCTATGCCGATTTCGGATGCAGACCAACCCAAAAAGACCGAAAATCAACATTTGAGAATATTCCGCCTAGTGGTTCTATGGGAAATTAAATATATATAAATTACTATATATGGGTATAACATTACCATATATAGGCATAAACTCACGAGGTAGAGTCGATGAGCTTGAGATTTTTTTTTGAAAGTGATGCAGAATACTTGTAGCTGTCAAAAAAAAAAATCAAAAAAAATCTTTATTATTTTCGGACTGAAGTCCCCATATCTTTTGAACCAAGGACCAGGCGAACTTTTGGTGTTCATATTCGGATTCAGGGGGTCTTTTCACACTATAAAAGGGCATGAGGTCATATCGTGACCAAACCGTACCCCCTTGCAAACCGGGTATTTCGCCAAAACATTAAAAACTGACTGTTTATAAACCCGGTTTATAAACCGGTTTGTAAACAGTCCTAAAAAACTGCACCCTAGTCAAGATACTATCCACGCCCATCTTGTACCCTTCGAGGAAGAGCTCCTGCGGCTGTTGGTCATAAGCGATCCGACTGCGAGTCTCCAGAGTCGGCGGGCCATGGTCGGGGACTACATCCACAAGGCCCTCGGATCTCTCGCACACCGTCTCCCGCCCGAGCTTATCGGGCAGATCTTTCTCCACTGCCTCCCCCATCGGTCAAACGCCCTCATGCGCACGTCCGAGGCGCCGCTCCTCCTGTGTCGCATTTGCAGCCTCTGGCGAGCGGTCGCATTGTCTCTTCCCCGCCTCTGGGCGACGATCGATCTCCAAACGTTCAGCCGGAGGAAAACCGCTTCCGTTGTCGAATGGTTCAGGCGGTCCATGTCTGCGCCGCTGTACCTTTCGCTGGACTGCGGGGATCGCCAAGCACTGCCGGACTGCGTGTACAGGGAGTCTTGGCGCTGGCGTAGTCTCCGTCTGTCGAACATACGCGCGCCACGCGCGCACGTCGCCGTCCGGGAGCACGAGCTTGTCGGGCAGAAGCGGCAGCTGCGCCCAGCCGTAATACTGCGCGCCCCACGCGGCGAGGTTGTGGCAGTGCACCTCGTAGTCGCCGCGCCGGAGGTGCACCGCTAGCATGCGTGCGTACGGGTCGCGCGCAGCGGCACCGACCGCCGCGCGCGCGCCGCGCGGGACGAAGAGCGGCGAGTTGCGCGCGAGCGCGCTCTGCACGATCGGCGAGGGGCCGAGCAGGCGCGAGGTCGGCGAGGTCGCGAAGAGGTCCCATAAGGCAAGGACGCGCGGCGTGCCCCAGAGGCCGAGGTCGAACACCTGCGGGAAGGTGTCGAGACCAGGGACCCGGTCACGACCTCGATGCAGCGCTCGGGCGCGTCGTGGAGGAGCTGCTGCCCGTGCGCGAAGACGACGTCGCCCGGCGCGCCGCCGACGGCGGGCTTGATATCTGTGGCGGCGATGACGCGGCGCTCGGACGGCGGGCAGACGACGTTGAACCATCGCTCAGAGACGGATCGAGGGGCGTCGTCGCCGGGCTCCATTTTCCGCCAGGGAAATCTGATCGCCGACTCGGACTCATTCAAATAGGATGCCGTCAACGCCGTCAATGTCGCTTATCCTCCTCGCTGCTTGTATTTTACCTCGTCATCGCGTTCCCTTCCCCCTGTATCCCCCACTGGCAGCCCACGTTTCTCCGAGTCGTGTATGAACCTATAACGTGTCTGAAGCCCAGGGTGCATACCGAGATCGCTCTGCTTCCCTTCGCCTTCTAATTCCCCCACTTCCTCTTTGCGCGCAGGCCCGGGCCCTGCTGGCTTTCGCCGCATCCATTACTGATAACTATTAATATCTGCCAGATGCACGTGACGAGCATGGTGTGCCCAGCAACCCCGATACCGGTTCACAGGACGTAAATCAACAGATATAGGGATTCCGGGGATTCTTTAAAATAGATCTTGACTAGTATATCGGTTTAGTACACGCGCTTGTCATGCCCCATCTGCCTGTGGATACGCGCGAAAGCTGGGTTCGACTCCCAGGTCGAGAGGTATGGTGGTAGATGGTGTTTTTTTTCCTTACCATTTGATTCAATGGCAATGAGAATATCTACACAAATTGAAAGCGTCGCCATTGGCGTTAATGTTGGACCAGGATGTCCAGCTACTCAATATTCTGCTTGATGCACGTGACGAGCATGGTGTGCACTCTCTGTACACCCAGACACACGCGGCGGTACGCGCTACAACCCCGATGCCGGTTCACAGAAAAAATCAATAGATCTAGTGATTCCAGGGGATTCCTTTCTCAGCTGTATGTTCATTGTTGCCGAAACCACTGCCCGTCAACACGTGATCTGCGAAAAACCATATCGGGTATATTGAATATGTTTTGTATGACCGTTCCCGGTCCTACTAAATGGGAAGCTTGCTAAATCCGAATAAAGTGTCCACGGCTTATTGAAAAATTGCATTGTACATTATTTAATCAAAAAAAGTGCAAATTTATACAAGTCCATCCTATACATATTATGTATCTAAAGCAAAGGCAAACTGGTTTCAGCAGGCATGAGGCATCATCCTGTTTACCTCGTCTCAGGTACACTCGATCCTTTTGCAGGTGCAGTGCTGCGCATGCCCAACGCACAACACTGAGATGTTTGGACACTGTAACGCTCTGTAACGGCGCCACAGGTGGGAGAAAGCTGTTCTCCCCCTGCTTTCACGCAGACATGTCACGTTGATTGATTGATTGTTCAATTATAGTGCTGCGGGCCCTTTAGGGCCCATGTCGCACTTTACTGGGGACTATGTAGTTAATGGCTGGCATCGCGGATGCATGGGAAGGACGGCAAGGAGAGTGTGGGTGGAGGGATGCCGAGGGTATTCTAGATTGTTGTAGGCGTGGATAATATCGTAACAATTTCGTTTTCGTATCAGATGCTAAGTAGTAGAGGAAAGAGAGAAAGGAAAAGTAAAGTAAAGATGGGGGCGTTACAGGACATATCGTGGGAGGCGGCCCGTGGCGCGCACGAATGCGAGCACCGGAGCGGCGTCGTTCTTGGAGGAGAGTAATGCGCGGAGGGAGAGGCGCGCGGTCTTGACACGGACCATGAGATGTAGGCGGGCTACACGATGGGTGGGGCAGATGAGGAGGAAATGGGGTACGGTTTCAGGGACGCCGCATTGTGGGCAGAGGGGGGACGGCGCAAGTTTGAAACGGTGGAGGTATGCGTTGAGTCCGATGTGTCCCGTGCGGAGTTGAGTGAGGACACTGCACTGTGGCCTACTTAGCCCCGCGTACATTTTCTCCAACGCTTTTGAGGGTGTCGCGTTGTCAAAGGCGGAGATACGGGCGTGCCGTGGCGATTTTGACCAGTCCTCGCACCACTGCGTCGCGAACATCTTCGCACCAGCTGCGATGACCGCTGCGCGGCTGGTGGGAAGAGGGCTCTCGAAGAGCTTGATGCGCGTCGCGAGCGGGGAGGAGGTACCCAGGGCTGCTGCTTTGGCACAGGTATCGACCGTCTCGTTGCCGACAATGCCCACGTGCGCTGGTACCCAATGGATACGGATTTGGAGGGTACGGCGGGCGCGGAGGAGGCGGGCAAGAATGGTGTGGAAGGCGGCGAGGAGATACTGGCCGGGTTGGGGCTTGGGGGAGGCTAGCGCGGCGATGGCTGGCTGGCAATCGATGAAGATGTCCACGCTTGTCAGGCGCGGCGTGCCTGCGATAATGTCCAGCGCGAGGATGGCCCCGCAGACTTCGGATTCGAAGACGGTGTGTTCCCCTTCCGTGCCGAGGTACTTCTGGCGTTGTTCCCCTACCACTCCGTTCCTCATCGCGACCGCCGCCGCCCCTACACCTCCCTCGAAGCCCGAGCCGTCTGTGAAGATGCAGACGCCCCCCTCCTTCACGATCCTATCCATCTCGTCGCGCGCAGCGTCCTTGTCCGCTGCGATGGTTGTGGTGAGAGCGGGTTCCGGGTTTGGAGCAAATCGTCGGAGCGGGTCGATAGTCTCGAAGTCTTTGCTGAATACGGGGAAAGCCGCGATAAGATGGTGGATGGGTGAGCGGTGGAATCGTGGAACTCGTCGGCAGCGGGCGAAGGTGCCTCGGATGGGGTTGGACGCGGGGAGGGCGGCGAGTCGGGCGGTCGCGTTATAGACTGAGCGGTTAAGACGGAGGTGTATCGGTGCAATATTGGCATGGTAGTTCTGGGTGTCGGTTGCGGTAGTCCTGAGCGAGCCGGTGATCAGTTTGCACGCCTGCCGTTGTACCTTGCCCAGTGCGTTTGCGATCCACACTGTCCCGCTCCGCCTCGCGTGGTCGCGTTCCGTCACCGGCCGGTACCACACTGGCAAAGCATATTCCATCCTCGGGACCACAATCGTTTGGAAGAGCTGGCGCGTGTAGGAGTGGGGAAGCCCGAAGGTGGGGGAGGAGATGCGAGAAAGGGCGAGTACTGCCTTGGTTCCCCGACGCTGCGCGAGCTCGACGTGGTTTCGGAAGGTGAGTTTGTGGTCGAGAATGACTCCCAGGAGCTTCGCTGTCGGTTCCGGTCGTATCACGATATCACCAACCTTGAGCGGGGTCGGGTGATAGTGGGTGGAGTGTCGGCGGGGGGAGACGAAATGGACGAGCTGGAATTTTGGGAGATCGAATTGCAAGCCGATGGCCTTGGCGGTGGGGAGCGCAAAGTCCTTCATGTGCCGGCGTAGCCGTGCCGTAGTCTCTTGGATGGAAAAACCCGTTTCCAAACGGGAGTTATCATCCACATACCCGAGGGTTCCGTCCTCCAATAGCGCATCCGCATAAATGAGGTAGAGGAGGGCACTGAGAGGTGAGCCTTGGGGGAGACCATTTGGGACTGGCGACGGCGCGGCTTGGTGGTCGTCAAATAAAAGGCTGGTACTGCGCTCTGTCAGGAAGCTCGCCAGGAGGCGCACAACTGGGGCGGGGACGCGCTTCCTCTCGAGCGAGCGGATCAGATGATCGTGGCTCACGGAGGGGAAAGCTTGTGAAACGTCCATAAGAAGGAGGCTGGCTACCTTCCCGACACGCCACGCGTCCTTGACGCGCTGCACGAGTTGGAGCAAAGTGTCAACGGTGCAGCGGCCAGGGCGGCCTCCGAACTGGTTTGGTGAGAGAAGGCCATGGCTCTCCGCAAACCCAGAGAGCCAGTCGGCTAGAACGGACTCAACCACCTTGCCGAGGCACTCCTCCTCAGCAATGGGGCGATGCGCGCCCGGCTAAGAGAGTCTCCTCTGATGTTCTTAGAGTATTCCTACTAGTAGGGCCAGCTGCGGCTGTTGTCTGCCTAGTTGTGTAGCTGTAGCGTGTGTTATGTGTATTATCTAATGCACACATTGTTGGTGCCATTTACATGTAATTTTTCCATTTGTGTTCTATTTACTTTGTTACTCAGAATCAAAAAATAATTGAGTATCCTTGTCCAATCATCTCACAGACATATTCCAGATGCAGATATTATTAGATTATCCAAAATAATTACAAAAACTTGAATGTTTGACTGGGGAATTCGGACTGGTAATACTGTACAGTTTCGATCAATTCGAATGGCCTGTGACCTGTGACCCGAGCATTCGAACTTGGAATTTCGAAAATGGGGCGGGGTAGCCGTGACACATAATTTTTTTCGAAAATGAGGCAGAAAGTAGCAGAAGATCTTCTCATATGATGCCGATGGCTCATCCAATGCAACAGGAGGGTTTCGAGCCCAGAATGAGGCGTAAAACATCACCCAAGTCCAAAGGGGTAAGATCAATCAGATGCAATTCGGCTACAATAATTGGGGAGCTTGCTCCCCATTATCCGTGTGGGTTACTAAAATCTTAGTGGCTGTGTTTTCACGTTGTTTCACGTCAACGGGGGTTCGCACGTTCCGAAAAAGGTAACTTTTGATGGATGAACCCAAAAAAGGGAAAAAGTGATGGGTAAAACCGAAAAAGGTAACTTTTGATGCGTAAACGCAACGTGTTACGTGAACAACGTGAACGCGTGGACATCGGAGGACATCGGACCTCGGCTAACTTCGGACAGCTCTGGTTCCGAGCCGGTAGACATCACATGACATGCGCATCAACTTACAATACTGTACAGTTTCGATCAATTCGAGTGTCACGGGTCACAGGGCCAAAAATTTTCGAAAATTTTCGAGCCTGTCACAGGTCACCAGCGGAATTTTCGAATGTTGAAAACATGTCACGAAATCGGTGAAAACTGCCTCAAATAATCGGATTTTTGCGGCCGCGGTGCTTTGCACCACGGCGCTCTCACGGGGTAACAGTCGTTCTTTCCGCGATGCGCAGGTGAATGTATGAGCACAACTTGAATCGACTAGAGCTCAGGGTCAAGAAGAATTGTGCGCCCAAGGGCCTTGACGACAACCAAAGGCGGCACCGAGATTTCCCTCACATCGAAAGTTGTGATAGTCGGCGGGAGCTTGGAGAGATATTCGGTGGGATGCACAAAGTGTGAGGATTTGTGCTGCGGCGGGACTCCGCGGGAGGTCAAAGTCGATGAGGCCCGACAGCGGTAGATTGCGGTGGGAGAATGATAGCTTTTCTGGCCCATCCGGTTGCCATCCGGGATCTTGAAGCGGTCGGGGAGACCACTCATTGCGAAGACGATGCGGGGGAGGAGGGAAAAAATGCGTAATTATTGTAGCCGAATTGCATCTGATTGATCTTACCCCTTTGGACTTGGGTGATGTTTTACGCCTCATTCTGGGCTCGAAACCCTCCTGTTGCATTGGATGAGCCATCGGCATCATATGAGAAGATCTTCTGCTACTTTCTGCCTCATTTTCGAAAAAAATTATGTGTCACGGCTACCCCGCCCCATTTTCGAAATTCCAAGTTCGAATGCTCGGGTCACAGGTCACAGGCCATTCGAATTGATCGAAACTGTACAGTATTACCAGTCCGAATTCCCCAGTCAAACATTCAAGTTTTTGTAATTATTTTGGATAATCTAATAATATCTGCATCTGGAATATGTCTGTGAGATGATTGGACAAGGATACTCAATTATTTTTTGATTCTGAGTAACAAAGTAAATAGAACACAAATGGAAAAATTACATGTAAATGGCACCAACAATGTGTGCATTAGATAATACACATAACACACGCTACAGCTACACAACTAGGCAGACAACAGCCGCAGCTGGCCCTACTAGTAGGAATACTCTAAGAACATCAGAGGAGACTCTCTTAGCCGGGCGCGCATCGCCCCATTGCTGAGGAGGAGTGCCTCGGCAAGGTGGTTGAGTCCGTTCTAGCCGACTGGCTCTCTGGGTTTGCGGAGAGCCATGGCCTTCTCTCACCAAACCAGTTCGGAGGCCGCCCTGGCCGCTGCACCGTTGACACTTTGCTCCAACTCGTGCAGCGCGTCAAGGACGCGTGGCGTGTCGGGAAGGTAGCCAGCCTCCTTCTTATGGACGTTTCACAAGCTTTCCCCTCCGTGAGCCACGATCATCTGATCCGCTCGCTCGAGAGGAAGCGCGTCCCCGCCCCAGTTGTGCGCCTCCTGGCGAGCTTCCTGACAGAGCGCAGTACCAGCCTTTTATTTGACGACCACCAAGCCGCGCCGTCGCCAGTCCCAAATGGTCTCCCCCAAGGCTCACCTCTCAGTGCCCTCCTCTACCTCATTTATGCGGATGCGCTATTGGAGGACGGAACCCTCGGGTATGTGGATGATAACTCCCGTTTGGAAACGGGTTTTTCCATCCAAGAGACTACGGCACGGCTACGCCGGCACATGAAGGACTTTGCGCTCCCCACCGCCAAGGCCATCGGCTTGCAATTCGATCTCCCAAAATTCCAGCTCGTCCATTTCGTCTCCCCCCGCCGACACTCCACCCACTATCACCCGACCCCGCTCAAGGTTGGTGATATCGTGATACGACCGGAACCGACAGCGAAGCTCCTGGGAGTCATTCTCGACCACAAACTCACCTTCCGAAACCACGTCGAGCTCGCGCAGCGTCGGGGAACCAAGGCAGTACTCGCCCTTTCTCGCATCTCCTCCCCCACCTTCGGGCTTCCCCACTCCTACACGCGCCAGCTCTTCCAAACGATTGTGGTCCCGAGGATGGAATATGCTTTGCCAGTGTGGTACCGGCCGGTGACGGAACGCGACCACGCGAGGCGGAGCGGGACAGTGTGGATCGCAAACGCACTGGGCAAGGTACAACGGCAGGCGTGCAAACTGATCACCGGCTCGCTCAGGACTACCGCAACCGACACCCAGAACTACCATGCCAATATTGCACCGATACACCTCCGTCTTAACCGCTCAGTCTATAACGCGACCGCCCGACTCGCCGCCCTCCCCGCGTCCAACCCCATCCGAGGCACCTTCGCCCGCTGCCGACGAGTTCCACGATTCCACCGCTCACCCATCCACCATCTTATCGCGGCTTTCCCCGTATTCAGCAAAGACTTCGAGACTATCGACCCGCTCCGACGATTTGCTCCAAACCCGGAACCCGCTCTCACCACAACCATCGCAGCGGACAAGGACGCTGCGCGCGACGAGATGGATAGGATCGTGAAGGAGGGGGGCGTCTGCATCTTCACAGACGGCTCGGGCTTCGAGGGAGGTGTAGGGGCGGCGGCGGTCGCGATGAGGAACGGAGTGGTAGGGGAACAACGCCAGAAGTACCTCGGCACGGAAGGGGAACACACCGTCTTCGAATCCGAAGTCTGCGGGGCCATCCTCGCGCTGGACATTATCGCAGGCACGCCGCGCCTGACAAGCGTGGACATCTTCATCGATTGCCAGCCAGCCATCGCCGCGCTAGCCTCCCCCAAGCCCCAACCCGGCCAGTATCTCCTCGCCGCCTTCCACACCATTCTTGCCCGCCTCCTCCGCGCCCGCCGTACCCTCCAAATCCGTATCCATTGGGTACCAGCGCACGTGGGCATTGTCGGCAACGAGACGGTCGATACCTGTGCCAAAGCAGCAGCCCTGGGTACCTCCTCCCCGCTCGCGACGCGCATCAAGCTCTTCGAGAGCCCTCTTCCCACCAGCCGCGCAGCGGTCATCGCAGCTGGTGCGAAGATGTTCGCGACGCAGTGGTGCGAGGACTGGTCAAAATCGCCACGGCACGCCCGTATCTCCGCCTTTGACAACGCGACACCCTCAAAAGCGTTGGAGAAAATGTACGCGGGGCTAAGTAGGCCACAGTGCAGTGTCCTCACTCAACTCCGCACGGGACACATCGGACTCAACGCATACCTCCACCGTTTCAAACTTGCGCCGTCCCCCCTCTGCCCACAATGCGGCGTCCCTGAAACCGTACCCCATTTCCTCCTCATCTGCCCCACCCATCGTGTAGCCCGCCTACATCTCATGGTCCGTGTCAAGACCGCGCGCCTCTCCCTCCGCGCATTACTCTCCTCCAAGAACGACGCCGCTCCGGTGCTCGCATTCGTGCGCGCCACGGGCCGCCTCCCACGATATGTCCTGTAACGCCCCCATCTTTACTTTACTTTTCCTTTCTCTCTTTCCTCTACTACTTAGCATCTGATACGAAAACGAAATTGTTACGATATTATCCACGCCTACAACAATCTAGAATACCCTCGGCATCCCTCCACCCACACTCTCCTTGCCGTCCTTCCCATGCATCCGCGATGCCAGCCATTAACTACATAGTCCCCAGTAAAGTGCGACATGGGCCCTAAAGGGCCCGCAGCACTATAATTGAACAATCAATCAATCAACGTGACATGTCTGCGTGAAAGCAGGGGGAGAACAGCTTTCTCCCACCTGTGGCGCCGTTACAGAGCGTTACAGTGTCCAAACATCTCAGTGTTGTGCGTTGGGCATGCGCAGCACTGCACCTGCAAAAGGATCGAGTGTACCTGAGACGAGGTAAACAGGATGATGCCTCATGCCTGCTGAAACCAGTTTGCCTTTGCTTTAGATACATAATATGTATAGGATGGACTTGTATAAATTTGCACTTTTTTTGATTAAATAATGTACAATGCAATTTTTCAATAAGCCGTGGACACTTTATTCGGATTTAGCAAGCTTCCCATTTAGTAGGACCGGGAACGGTCATACAAAACATATTTACGCATTTTTTCCCTCCTCCCCCGCATCGTCTTCGCAATGAGTGGTCTCCCCGACCGCTTCAAGATCCCGGATGGCAACCGGATGGGCCAGAAAAGCTATCATTCTCCCACCGCAATCTACCGCTGTCGGGCCTCATCGACTTTGACCTCCCGCGGAGTCCCGCCGCAGCACAAATCCTCACACTTTGTGCATCCCACCGAATATCTCTCCAAGCTCCCGCCGACTATCACAACTTTCGATGTGAGGGAAATCTCGGTGCCGCCTTTGGTTGTCGTCAAGGCCCTTGGGCGCACAATTCTTCTTGACCCTGAGCTCTAGTCGATTCAAGTTGTGCTCATACATTCACCTGCGCATCGCGGAAAGAACGACTGTTACCCCGTGAGAGCGCCGTGGTGCAAAGCACCGCGGCCGCAAAAATCCGATTATTTGAGGCAGTTTTCACCGATTTCGTGACATGTTTTCAACATTCGAAAATTCCGCTGGTGACCTGTGACAGGCTCGAAAATTTTCGAAAATTTTTGGCCCTGTGACCCGTGACACTCGAATTGATCGAAACTGTACAGTATTGTAAGTTGATGCGCATGTCATGTGATGTCTACCGGCTCGGAACCAGAGCTGTCCGAAGTTAGCCGAGGTCCGATGTCCTCCGATGTCCACGCGTTCACGTTGTTCACGTAACACGTTGCGTTTACGCATCAAAAGTTACCTTTTTCGGTTTTACCCATCACTTTTTCCCTTTTTTGGGTTCATCCATCAAAAGTTACCTTTTTCGGAACGTGCGAACCCCCGTTGACGTGAAACAACGTGAAAACACAGCCACTAAGATTTTAGTAACCCACACGGATAATGGGGAGCAAGCTCCCCAATAAGATAAACCTTATCGCTGATAGCTGAAAGCAACGGTTTCGGCAGCATGTTCAGACGAGAAGAAATTAAAAATTTTGCTGGTTTGTGTCCGGTTTTATTGCGCATCGCGTGGTGAGAACACATCTATTCAATGCAGCTAGCCTCTTCGCCCTGGCTGACAGTTCGTGGCTACCAGCATCCGAGAGTTCACCAGCTTCGCGAGCAGGCGCGATAATCAGTGCTCATGGAGAACAGAGGCATGTCAAGTGCACGATGAATCGCCTGATGACAGGACAACCCCTGCGATTAACTAACCACTACTTTCGAAGCGCCATCTAACTCTCACCACCTCAAGTACGATCACGTCGGCGCTCATCTAGGTCGTGTTCGATTTACGTACTAGGAACCGGCATCGGAGTTGCATGCCTGATGCGCGTACGCCGCATGAGTCTGGGTGCACACAACGATGCTCATGACGTGTATCAGGTACAATACTTAGTCAATAGCCATCGATTCAGTCATGGACATCCTGGTCCAGCGCCAATGGCGACGCTTTCAATTTGCGTACATATTCTCATTGCTATGGAATAAAAATAAAAACTGGATTTCCGCAACAAGCTCTCGACCTGGGAGTCGAACCCAGCTTTCGCGCGTACAAACAAATGTTCGAAGCATGACAAGCGCGTGTACTAAACCAATATACTAGTCAAGATCCATTGTAAGGAATCCCTAGATCCGTTGATTTACGTCCTGTGAACGGGGTTACATTCCCGATGCGCGTACGCCGCGTGCCTCTGGACCTGCTCGTCTGAGTCGTCACGTAGTGAAAGCATCTCGAACATTGGATCAGGTGACCTTGGTGACATCACGAGATGGTTACGTTACACGTTAAAAATGCACCGACTCGTCCAATGCGGATTCGCCCACTCTTACGCCTTTCAGGCTTTCTACTCCCCCGAGCACACTTTCAGCAGATACGACTGACCAGCATGTCCAGCGCGCAAGCATCCGTCGTCCGTTGCACCTTTGTACCTCTTCCATGGACCATGTACTAAGTTTGTGTAGTTTGGTCTCAACGACATGTCTCTCGTGAAAACGCAGGCGTTCATCGATGGCAAATGGGTCGACGCGAAAGGCGGAGAGACCATCCCCGTGACGAGTGAGTCGATATTGTGTCTCCAAGCCCTTGCGCTGATACTTCATTCATTCTAGATCCCGCAACCCAAGAGGTGCTGGGGACCGTGCCCGAGATGGGGGTCGCGGAAACCAAAGACGCCATTAACGCGGCTGCGAAGGCGTTTCCGGAATGGAGCAGAACCACTGCCAAGGTACCTTGGAATTTTCTACGTCGAAGGTCAAGTACCGAAGCATCCCAAGCATCGACACGACATTCTGATGAAGCTCTTTGCTCTCATGCACGAGCACCATGACGATCTGGGTCGACTTATCGTTCGTTGCGTCGCTCTTTCTTCCCCGTCGCCACTGAGTGGCTTGTAGACTCTTGAAAACGGCAAGACTCTTGTTGACGGAAAAGTCGGTCTAACGCTCCGTATCTTGTCGTCGCGCTGACCTCGAACAGGGCGAAAACACTTTCAGTGCTTCATTCATTGAGGTGTGTCGCAACTCTGTCATCGGATTATTTCTGACTCTCAGCCATAGTGGTTTGGTATGGAACTGCTCTATGATGTTTCATAGCTTACGGGTACTACAGCCGAGGAAGCTGTCCGCACATACGGCCGTATGACTCCTAGTGCGGAACCCGAGCTTTTCTAACCGCAAACAGAGTACATTCCCTCTGCCTTCCCCAGTTTGCGTAACGTGACCATCAAGCAACCTGTTGGTGAGCCCGTTGCACAATGGTAGACAGTAGATGCTGGTTATTTCAGGTGTTGTGTGCGTCCCGTTGTACGGCTGATGCCTCGTAGCTCATGCTCCCTAGCTCTATTATAACCCCGTGGAACTTCCCCTCGGCCACGATCACTCGCAAGTTAGGCGCTGTGCTTGCAGCGGGCTGCACGGCTGTCATAAAGCCGCCTCCAGAGACGCCATTCTCGTGCCTCGCACTTGTAGAAGTAAGAACCAATCTCATAACATGTCTGTATCTAAGCATTTGCAGCTGGCCCGCCGCGCAGGCGTTCCTGATGGTGTGATCAACGTCGTGACCACTCTCAAGAATGTGCGCGAGGTGGGGAGGGAGATGTGCGAAAACCCGATCGTGAAGAAGGTGTCATTCACTGGCTCTACGGCTCTCGCCAAATCACTGGCGACCATGTCTGCCTCGACGCTCAAAAAGTCAGCTCTCAGCATACCACGCATTAACGACGACTAACAAGCCCGTGTCAGAGTATCCATTGAAGCTGGAGGCAACGCGCCGTTCATCGTGTTTGACGACGCCAACATCGAGGAGGCCGTTGAAGGTGCGCTGTTTTCAGTATTGGGCGTCGGGACATGAAATTGATGCACCCAAGGCGCGATCTTTTGTAAATTTCGAACTTCGGGACAAACGTGTGTCTGCGCGAACCGCATCTATGTGCAGTCGTCCGTCTACGCCGAGTTCGCCTCGCGTCTTACAGAGAAAGTCGCCAATTTCAAGGTCGGGGATGGTCTTGATGAGTCTACGTACGTCAGCCGGCATAAGTGCACGCATTGCTGACCCAATCCATGTATGTACAGGACCCATGGTCCATTGATCCATATGCGTGCGCTTGATAAGGTTAAGGCGCATATCGAAGACGCCATCAAACACGGTGCGCAGGTGCTTGCCGGCGGGTCAGCCAAAGAAGGGACGTCGTTCTTCCATCCCACTATCCTCTCGGATGTCCCAACGACGGCGCTCATCAATCGCGAGGAGACGTTCGGGCCGCTCGCCGCGCTGATCAAATTCGAGACGGAGAACGAGGTGATAGCGCTCGCGAACGATTCGAATGTCGGGCTTGCGGGATACTTCTATTCGCAAGATGTAGGACGTGTCTGGCGCGTCGCCGAGCGGCTCGAGGTCGGGAGTGAGTGCAAAGATCTGATTCTCGTGTTTTTTTGTACTGAGGCGGCTGCAGTGGTTGGTTGCAACTCGGGGCTCATCAGCCAAGCGGTGATTCCATTTGGTGGGGTCAAGGAGAGCGGCCTTGGGCGCGAGGGCGGGCCCGGCATTACGGAGTACATGAACACGAAGCTGATTGTCTTTGGTGGGGTGGCCTGAGGGCTGACTCTCAAATGGCGCTGAACAATGTATTATCACCCTTCTAGTTGCGCAGCTGTATATGCCCGATGTCGCTGTCAATGTACAACCCACGCACCATGTTGCTCGACGCCAACTGAAGTAATTCTCACACCCCCATCTTGAACGAATTGTGTTGCGATGACCACCAAGAAAGGCCGCATGTTCACGAAGGTCCGCATCAATGATCAGTGTCGTGCGCCATTCGACACTCTACGCGTTGACTGCTGTAACTTTTTCCGCCGCGAGCAACCTGCGCAGCGAGCTCCGGCTCCCCGGTGCGTCACGTTGTTCTTCCCCGGCGACCCAGGCTACGCCAATATCAGCCGGCCTTGTGAGTCGTCTGCTTTGCCGTGTGCAGGCGCAAAGGAGGTCAGTTGAGGTTGTTCGGGGTTGCCTTGGGGTTGCCATTCTAATAATTAAATTAAAGCGAAGACATATTTAATTCATTTGCATCCAAACATAGAAACAGTATAGTGGCACCGAAAGCACTAGTCCTGCCTGAACGAATGTTCGTGCCACTCGCCGTCCAGGCTTTGGTTTCACAAATCTGTGGCCAAAGCGGGGTCATCGTAACCCCTACCTACTTGAGCCCCTCCAGCAAATAAATCCTAACCACTTCTGTTTAACAATCCAGCATCTCAAGTTGGAAAATCGGGTTTAACTTTGGTTTAACTGGATTAATGTACTATGAATTCTCTACCTTGCATTCCCTTCACGAGGTTAATCCATATTAACTTGGGGTAAAAGCCGCAGCTTCGCTCGGCAGAAACTCATGCTTATGCCCTGTAGCTTGATTTTTTTCAATGATCGAGTCGCCTGCCTATGGGAAAGCAACACATCATACGTACCTGTGCATCTATAGTTTCTGATTGATGAATATCTAGACACTATTTTAAAAATGGCAGCGGCATACTCTTGCCTAATTTGCTAGTAAGATAGTTCACGTAGTCACGGCAGAGTTTTATGAAAATATGCATGCCGACTTATAACAGAACAAACTGCGAGCAACGAAGTAAAATAGTAAGCAATGTCCGTCGTCCGTAGGAAATTAAGACAAAAATTATGTGATTTTCAGGTGCACTAAGATCGTAAAGCTTAGTCGAGAGCTCCTTAAAATCTCCGAGCCAACACACCTTGTGTTTATGTAAACATAGTCTGGACCAAAAAGTCTAGAGTTATGTATCTTAGTTTGGGCCTGAAGATACAGTAAGCAAGTCAGATCAAACCATAGCTTTCAAGACGACTATATAATAATATAGGGAAATTTTACTAAGTCAATATCAACTACATGCCACATGGATGATGAATATGATTTCAGCAAAGGATAAGTGTTGGCGGTGAAAGGATTGATTTGCCACAATAGGAAACATCATGTGACTTTTAAATTGGACAAAAATTTGCGACAAGTGCAGCTCAAGAATTCACCTAAGTCAGTGCAGCAGCTGCAGCCGCGCGAGACGACGGTGCACGCCGCGCACGTGCTCACGGGCGTGGCGGGCGGCGCGAGTGCGGGCGCGGCGAGGCGCGCCGTGTGCGCGCTTGCTGGCGGGGCTACGGGGCTTGTGATGGTGTTGTACCACGAGGTCGAGCACCGCGAGAGCGACGCCGCGGGCCCGGGCTCCACGGACGGACAGCATGCGCATGCGCACGCGCGGCTGCAGCTGCTGCACGTGCAGGCGCACGAGATGGCGGCGGCGGCGCACTGGGCCGACACAGCAGCGTGGGCGGAGTTCTGCATCGAGGAGGCCGTGGTGTGTGGCGCGCGCTGGGGGCGCTGCGCACGCGCTTGCGCGTGCACTTCGCGCGATCCGCGTTGACGTGGCGCTTGCGGGCGTGGCGGCGGGCGCCGTGAGCGTGGGCGCGGCGAGGCACGCCGTGAGCGCGGGCGTGGCCGCATGCGCGCTTGCGGGCGGCGCTGCGCACGGACAGCATGCGTAAGCTTTGCACTTTTTTTTTGACCCATCTCGGGCATTGTCACCTTGGAACACCCTTTGGAGAGTACGTGCGAAACCACGCCACGAGAGATAGGTGTGGCGATCACTCCAGGGGATCGAGCACACAAGACGCTAGGCAACTGTGGACTGGCTGGCCTCAAGTGGGCAGGACCACTGGTTGAAACCCTTAGGACCTGACCACCAGTTGAAGAGCTGGTGTGCGGGAGGAGTCCACTCCTCCCAGGTAAAAATCCCGAGGAAGGTCCACAGTCGACGAGATTAGTGTGTTCAACTTCCGAAGAAGGTCCACCGCCAGCCAACACAGCGATGAATCAAGTCGTTCGAAACAGTGTAATGGGGCCAGATTTGAGGGGCTCAAATTGCTGGTACACTGGTTCAGAAAGCAAGAGGATTGGTACGGAGTCGAATATTTTGAGAACATCATACGCCAATTTTGCGAGTAACGATTTCTCTCTTCGGAAGGAGCCCACGGAATTGCAGTGGGTCGGAGAATTGTTGGGGAAAACCAGAACCAGGGAGTTCGATGTCCAATTTGAAATA